CGCAGTGACCCTGGGGAGCAGCTCTAGGGAGGAGCCCGGAGACGGCCACTCCAGCCATGTCACTCGGAGAGCGTGAGCTCTCACCAGTGCAGAGGCCATCAGGCCAGGGGGTTTGCAGGGGTCCACCTTGCAGGAGTGTCCCTACAAGTGCCCGCAGTGCGGGCAGTCCTTCAAGAAGCCCAGCAACCTGCTGAGCCACTGGGAAGCACACAGCGGGGCCAAGCCCTACACCTGCGAGCTCTGCAGCAAAGCCGACTCGCACCAGGGCACGCTGCAGCAGCGCTGCCGCCTGCACACAGCTGAGCGGCCCTGTGAGCGCCCAAACCTACACCTGGTCCTCGGGCAACCGCAAAGCACATCCACACCCACATGGGCAAGAGCCCGACGGCTGCGCCGACTGCGGGAAGGTCTTCGTCTGCTCCTCCGACCTCCGCAAGCATCAGCACAACATGCGCTGCAATGACAAGCCCTTCCCCTGCCCCTGCACCTTCAACAAGCCCCTCTCCCTGCTCTGCCATCAGCGGGGACGCTTAGGGGCCACGCCGTTCCCCCACCCCAAGTGCAGCAAGGCCTTCGCCATGGCCCACCTCGCCCACCACTGCCGCACCCAGACCGGCGAGCGACCCTTTGCCTGTCCCCACTGCACCCACACCTTCGCCTCTGCAGCCACCCTCAAGTGGCACCAGCAGCTCCAGGGTGGCCCCCTGCACCGGTGCAGCACCTCGACGGCTTCCCCGGCAGCACCCCACCAACCCCAACAGCCCCTCTGTATGGACCACGGTCTCTCCCAGCACGGTGTGGAGGAGCCCTGGCCTCTTCGGCATGGCCGGGGGAAAATCACACGTGAGGCTGCGAGTGCCCCTGCACCCCAGGGAGCCCCTGGCACATGGCCGTCGGGGAAGGAGGAGGTAGTCAGTGAAAAGCCAGTTGCCCAAGCACATGGGAAAGAGGCAGAGCTCAGTCACTCATGCATTACTTATTTCTGAGCGCTCTCCCTCCAGGAAAAGAGGATCCCAGTTTGGCTGGCATGAGATCCATCTTCCTGCCCCTGGCAAGGCTGAGCACTCTGCCCTGGCCGTACAAAGGTGCTGCACGTGTTTCACAGGACAGTGAAAACCCCAACACCCCCGCGGGTAAAGCAAATACATACTGGGTTTAAATTCCATATGGAGATGGGCAAGGAAAACCAAACTGAAGCCTGAACCCTCCTGTGCTGCCAATGAGATGAGTGCTGCAAAACACAACCCTTTCCTTTCACACAGAGTACGCTGGATACAGTAATTACAGGCAAAATATTTGCACCCCTTGCTCTCCTCCTGGGAGAGCCCCTTTTCGAAGCAGAAGTGCACTGAATGTTTCTACAGCAATAAGCTGCTTTCTGAGACCAAGAACAGGGACTAGACAGTTGGTAAAAATGGCTTTTCTCAGGTACCTGATAGCTGATAGGCAATTAAAAGAAAATTAAACTGACATTTCTAACTTGCACTGCAAAAGAGATGTGCAGTGGTGAAATAATTAAAAGTTACTGCTGGGAACATCCTGTTCTTACCCATCTATTGCGAAGAAGTAAAGGGCAAGAAGCATTTTTGGCTTCCCCCCCCCCCCCCCCTCCTCATTTCCCCCCCCCTCTTTCTTGATAATGAATTGCTAGTTATTGCTGTGCCCCCAAATGCTAGAACCCAAGGGTTTTCCAAATGACAGTAGAGATATTTAGTGGTTGGTACCTGGTTTATCCAGCCTCACTTGGTGACAAACAACATTTTGCCAGCCAGATCCCCCTGCTCAAGTCATTCACATGAAGGGCTCAGAGCTTCATTTTCTGGTTTACAGCACTTGCCTGAAAGGTCTTTCCAGCAACTGCCTGGGAGCAGCTCCATGATGGGACTGCAGTCTCCTCCCTTGCTGTCTCTTACTGTCCAGCATCATTTGTTTCCCCACCAGTTACACTGGTGTACAAGCTGCATCTGAGCCTCTCAGGCAGGGGAAGTGGTCCTCTGGATGGGAACCCACCTTGGAGCATCCTCATGTAGATAGAACTTACACTGCCAGCTCCTCCCCAGAGCTCAGCTGGCCACCTCTGGAAAGGGACTTCCCAGCTATTTTTCACAACTCCATATACCGCTGCAGAGGTACCTGCAGCTACCCTGGCAACACAGTGCTCGGGAAGGAAGAGTCACCCCCCACCCAAGTGCCTCATGGAAATGGCCAGGGGACACAGGCAGATGTGCCTTGCCGACCCTTTCATTGCAGCAAGGGCCCTGGCATGTGTGAGAAAACAGAAAGCCCCTTCCACCTTTCTCATTAGCTAAAATAAAAGAGTGGTATTTATTAAGTGCCTGCTCACCAGATGCTGGCCTGGTCAGGATCCAAGTCCCAGAATGCTCTTCACATGAACCTCATGCTTCTTGACACAACCCCAAGTCATCCTTGCCCTCATCATTACCTCCAGCAGCCGTGTGCTGGGCTTACACTTCAGCCCATCACCCAAGGGCACCCCTGCCTCTGGCCCTTCCTTCCACCCCTCCTGCTATGCCAGCCCCAAGCCAGGTTCATTTGCAAGAGACAACAACAGTATAGGAAAGTTTCTGATGTTTCCCGAGTCAGAGTATCCCTGGATTTTAGTCTCTCTCATGCAGAGTGAGGCTGAGTATACCCTGGGCTGGCGTTTAGCACTGACCTTCTGAAAGGGAGAACAAGGGTCTGCGTGGTTTTAGGACCAGCATCCCCTTCACCCACAACATCAGCAGGTGAGGGATGAGGCCCAGAACTGTAGCGGGTGTATGCTGCTCCAGAGTCCGCATCGCTCTGCTTCAGCCTGTCCAATCTCCTGCATGCAAGCTCTTCCAGGAAGGGTTTGGGGACTAGTCTGGAAGAATAAGGAAGGTGCATGCTAGGCTGATGCCATCTTTTCAACTGCCAGGAGCGGTGGTCATGTTTTATAGGTCTGTACGCAGTCAGCCAGCAAAATCTTTACAAGACAAGAGAGAAAAGTCACTTAAAACTCTTCCTCAAGGGTGTTTCCTGATGGGAGAAGCAAAAGAGCGATTATAGCAAACTGTGAAATAAAAAGGAAGTCAGGTCAAAAGACAGCCAAGTGCACAAGGCTCTGCACGGGAGATTGTTAAAAGCCCCCCAAAATTGCTTCCCCCTTTTAAGAGTATGAATAAAACAGATCAAGATAGGCCCTTCCTCACTCAGAGCTGGCTGTCTCCCTTTGCAATGGCAGCCAAAAATCACATCAATTTGAGGGAGCACATCCAAAAAGAGAGCTGTCCTTGTTTCCAGTTTGGAGAGGAGCAGAGGTCGCTCACCTTGCCGCCTTAGAGGGTTGGGCCTTTAAAACAACATTGCTGCCAGCATGACACCCCTGCACTTTGGGAGGATGTCCTGCATTGCTTGGATGTTCCTTCTAGATTTCTTATTCTGTCCTTCACAGTGGTAAAAAACTGCTGTAGAGCTGAGCCCTGGTCCCAGACCACCTGACCATGCAGTGCTATTGAAGGCATGTAAATATATCTGTAAATGATGATAATATAAATGTGCTTATAATAAATGGGCTTGTATTGTTGTCCTGGTTTTGGCTGGGATAGAGTTAATTTTCTTC